GGTGCCTATCCACACTGCGCAATCATTGAATCATCCTTAATTAGTTATGGGGCAGTGCCGGAGTCGCGCGGTGAAGGCTGGTTCTTGTCTGTTACTACGTATAGCAACTAGGGTGGGGGGGGGTGGGTTATTACGCTTTCTTCTATTGTCCACTCCCCTTCCTTCTAGGCCACCCTACAAGACCTTGAACTCGCCCTCTCCACGTTCCTCCGTGTTACGGATGAGTTCTCTGAATGCACAGCACGGTGTGGTGCGGCCAGATTTTTATAATGGGGTTAATATAACTTCATTAAGTATTATCCAATGAGAGCGCAGTAAGGATAGGTGCCTATCCATACTGCGCAATCATTGAATCATCCTTAATTAGTTATGGGGCAGTGCCTCCGTCGCTCCGCCTTACCTATGGCCTTGCTATTCCTTCGCTAGGGGGTGTGCCCTTCTCAAACCAAAACCTTAACTTTCCTTAACCCCCTCTCTAATCCCCATCCTCATCCTTTCCTATCTCTCGCTACTTAACGCCAAACTCTGCTTCCCCTGCTAGGCTATAGACTGAGACAATAAAACACCACCAATCAGCAAGGCATTTCACGTTCACCTTTATTAATCAACGGCTTTCATTCTGGTACCTTTAATATTACGATTCCTTGGTTACTTTCACTACAGTTACTTGGTCTACCCCGTTCTCGACGTCACGACTCAAGCCAAATATTCTCCCCTGCTAAAGTTACCACGTTAAATATTGAGTCATTCTCAATCAATTACCACATCTTGTACGACCGCAAGGCTTCGTTACCCGGGTAACAAACAAAATGGGGAAATACAATTCCACTACATTCACGTTGTCAGAGCTCTCCTCCTGCCCGCACTTCAGAAGGCTTTCTTTAATCCCAGCAGTTCGTTGTTCTCTTCGTACGATTTGACTGCCTCCTGGACCTCCTCCGCCGCTAGCCTAGTGGCTGGACCACCTGGCTGTGTTACTTTCGCTATCTTCATGTAGTGGGAGGCTGTCTGTTTTGTAAACCATCCGACGTGGCCCATCACTTCGCCTTCTGACGCGCCTGCCATATGAAGGGAGATGGCACATCCCGCTCGACATCCGTGGAGAGTTTCACCCTCATCTATGCCGAGTTTCTGGAGGTACCTGCGGAAAGAGTTGTTAAGGGGGCACACCCCAGTTTATTTGGGCCCTCTATTCGAAGCTGCACACCCTCAAATCTAGCGACCGCCTCTGGCGTGGAATAATTCGGAAGGAGAATAACTGTATATGGGACGAAAGGGTATCTCTTCAGCTACAAGACAAGCTGAGTTTGGTTTCTTCAACCTTTTTAAGTTTGGTAAAATCAACGGAAAAAACATTATTTTCACTCCAAAATTAATGCCCAAAATTGCGAATTTTCGCGTAGGATAATCCCACAAAAAAAATTTTCCGGCAGAAATGACTGATGCTGGCAGAAAGACCCAAGCCTTGACTATACCCGAGTAAATTATAAAGAAAATTCTAGTACTGTAATTTTCTAAACAATCCACGGCGCGAGGGGTTGCAAATCCACCCCTACGAAGCCGCAGAGCGAAAACTAGGTCAAACGGGCGGATTACACTTGGCGCGCAAGGATACCCGGAAGTAAGGTTCGGAGCCAAAAGAAATTTTCACCCCAAAATCACCATTTCTTACACTCTTCAGCCATGTTAATGTTTAATGATACTTCGTGGCAGTTTATAAGAAATGTCACCTCAAACTTGGACCCTCAAAACCCTTTCGTCACTTTTTTACAACGGACTATAGTGGACCCCTGTCGCGGAAGAACTGGGGTGTGCACCGTTAATTAAGCCAAATTTTAATTAACATTGTTTTTAAATTAACTATGTCATAGTCTATCAATCGTGCCAAGTTTGAGTTTTCTGCGACTTTTCCTTCCCGAGTAACAGGTGGTTGAAAGTTACCCTGTCGGGAGGCTCATTTTGCGCTTCCACGGGTGTGTTCTATTCACGCACATAATGGGAATTACGTCACAATGGGCCGTTCCTTTGGAACGGGCTTTAGCGCATTAAACCATGCTAAATAAACAGATTTTGCCATGTAAAGGAATGCTAGAGGGCTGTTCTTGCGATGGAGTAGGTTTTCCTTCTAGTTCTGACTGAAATGAACGGCATAAACCACCCAGAATGTAGTTTAGCTGATGACGTCACAATGCCCTCCTCTAGCCGAACTTTTTAAGTGAGATCGCTATGGTTTTAAGTTCTGTACGTTGACAGGAAGCAGTTGATATTGAAATTTTTGGTCATACCCGGTAGAGAACAAACCAAGGGATCTTAACCAAGTGTTTCCGCTGCGGAGATTCATTTTGTTTTGCAGGAAAACGAAGCTTAATGTTGGATATTTGGTTAGATTGTAGGCCTGTGGCGTCCTTCTAGCAGCTAGGACGGTATAAATGGCCATCTGCTGAGAGAAGCCTGTACAGTTTGGTGTCGGTCTCGATGAGATATAAAAGCAGGAGGATGTATCTTCCGATTATTGCAACTTATTTGTCTGAAAGTTGAAATCTCGTGATAGGCCGAACTTGAAACTAGATTTGACAGGAAAGTAGGGGAATGACGTCATCATGGCCTTTTTTTAATTAAAAACGTCTCCTCCTTAATGCTGGAGCGCCTGGCACACGTACATACGCAGTTTCCAGGTGCCCCAGGGGTAGGGCAATGCAAATAATGAAATCGCGGTAGATATGACGTCATCGATCTTTAGTAGACACACTTCGAAGTCGGTTTGACCGTGTTCAAGGGGGGGGGGCGTGGGGAGGGGGGCAAATCAGCGCATTATATGACATTCTATAATCATATTAAAACTTGCGAAATCCAAAATTTTTTCGCCATGATTGGGTAAAGGATATACACTTTACTGGATGAAATGCAATTTGTTGGCTGCCATAGCTAATATTTTTTGAAGGACGGACCTGATTAAGGGGGCACACCCCAGTTTATTTGGGGCCTCTATTCGAAGCTGCACACCCTCAAATCTAGCGACCGTCTCTGGCGTGGAATAATTCGGAAGGAGAATAACTGTATATGGGACGAAAGGGTATCTCTTCAGCTACAAGACAAGCTGAGTTTGGTTTCTTCAACCTTTTTAAGTTTGGTAAAATCAACGGAAAAAACATTATTTTCACTCCAAAATTAATGCCCAAAATTGCGAATTTTCGCGTAGGATAATCCCACAAAAAAATTTTCCGGCAGAAATGACTGATGCTGGCAGAAAGACCCAAGCCTTGACTATACCCGAGTAAATTATAAAGAAAATTCTAGTACTGTAATTTTCTAAACAATCCACGGCGCGAGGGGTTGCAAATCCACCCCTACGAAGCCGCAGAGCGAAAACTAGGTCAAACGGGCGGATTACACTTGGCGCGCAAGGATACCCGGAAGTAAGGTTCGGAGCCAAAAGAAATTTTCACCCCAAAATCACCATTTCTTACACTCTTCAGCCATGTTAATGTTTAATGATACTTCGTGGCAGTTTATAAGAAATGTCACCTCAAACTTGGACCCTCAAAACCCTTTCGTCACTTTTTTACAACGGACTATAGTGGACCCCTGTCGCGGAAGAACTGGGGTGTGCACCGTTAACTGCGGCGGATGACGGTTGCTCCGCCAGGACCTCACCTTCCCTCGAAGTCGATCGGAACAAGAAACCCCCATCTAGGCTTATAGAAAGATACTTACTGATGGCGACGTACCAGTCGATTGCTACGACAGGGCAGGTGGAGGAGTCCCCTGTCTTCTCCAGGGTAAACACGTTCGACCTACCATCCCTGAGAGTCTTTCCCCAGACGTGATTCATGAGCAGAGCACCCGACTGCAACCTGCAAACGTCTGAGGTCCGTACTCTCATGAGGTCGGCTATTCGGTCCCCGGAGAAGAACGCTGCCTTAAATATGGCCTGGTCCCTAGCTAACGTGAACAATCTACTTGCGGATCTTTCTGCTTGGATCTTACCTGCGATGTGCTCGCACACTTTAACTATTTTGGACAAGAATACCGGTCTCGCCTGTTGCGGGGTCAAGCCCTGCCCTAACTGCTCTGCGGTCACCGATGCTAAGTACTGTTTCACCTCCTTACTAGCTGCGGGGTTGCCCACACCTAACCTCTCGTCCCATTCCCCTCCTCTGCCGTTCTCACTAAAGATGGCCCTCAACTTACCAATATAGGAGTACGTCCACCGTCTTGAATGCCAGTCTCGCCGGACACTGACAACTCCTCTGCCTTCCTACACACCCTTTCTCATGAACTTTAGTTTTCCCTTTCTCATCCTTCCATATCAAAAACTTAACCACGTCGACCGGTGAGGCGGAGGCGACGTTCTTCGGAGGGGAAAAGGTCGA